GCTTCCCTGACATACTGTCTTGGATTTGCTTCCTCGCCTGCAAGCTCCTTTTGGCCTCGGCCGTCTGCCAGGGTTTTTCCTCCCTCGGAGCTCCTGGCTGGGCTCCCCTGGCTGTTCTTGACTTCCTCTGCAAGTCGGCTCCTTTGCGGCATGGCCTGCCGATTTAAATCCAGCCTCCTCTTGCTACTTTCTGTCATCTGAGGCTGCTCGTCTCGGGCACGTATGACCTCTTCTGACAACTTCACGCTTACCTATTTGTTTAGTGTTGTCTCTCTTGGCCTCCCCTTCCACAGACAGAAGGACTACGCCCGTTCCCCACACCTACTGTACGTCTCAAGCATGTAACGTGTTACCTGGCACGTAGTGGATATTCAATAGTACTAATGAATGAGTTTATAAGCCACTGAATGAACACATGGAAAGATTAGTGCAAGGAGAATTTCTGACGTGTATGAGACGAGTGCATGGCGAATATACCCATGAGGCTGTGCAACGGCACGAACATGCAGCATTTGCAGCCAGGACGTGACAGTCCAGGACTGGTTCTGTCATTTAATGAGTTCCAAACTGTTGGGAAACTTCCTCAACTTCTGGAATATTCTATTTTTTTTATTTGTAAAGTGAAAACAATAGTAATGGTGTATGAAGGTCAAACAAGACCATGCACGTGAAAGCACTTCCTCAGGGGAGCATGAAATCTTTATTGCTAATGCCAGGCTGTCTATGGATCTTCAACTGGAGGTTAAAGTGTAGGTTTCACACCCGTTGTTGCTGGGCGAGGACTCCACTCCTGCACCTCAGGTTTGCATGCAGCTTTCTTTATTCTGTTCATTGGTCAGGAATTGCCAGAGGGGGATCCAAAGGCAGCACTAATTCTCTGTGCTCACTTTCTTTTAATTTAATTTAATTTTAGTGTATGAACGTTTTGCGATATGCATGTGTGTGCACCATGTGTCTGCATAGTGCACTTGGAGGACAGAAGGACGTCAGAGCTCCCAGAACTAAATTTCCAGATGACTGTGAGCCTCCACTGGAGTGCTGGGAAAGGAACCCAGGTCCTCTGACAGAGCAGCAGGTGCTCTTAAGCGCTGAGCCACCTCTTCAGCCCTTACTTTATTTTTTTAAAAAAATTTTTTTAATGTGTATAAGTGTTATGTTTGCATGTATGTGAGTGCACCTGTGTCATGTGATACCCCAATAGGCCAGAAGAGGGTGTCAGATTACCTGGGACTGGAGTTACTGGGGATTGTTAGCTGCTATGTGGGTGTTGGGAGCTGAACCTGGGCCCCCTGCAAGAGCAGCTGGTGTTCTTATCCTGCTGAGACATCTCTCTAGCCTCAATCCTTACTTTCTTAGTTATAAGCTAATTCATTGAGTATATATAGTGACTACCAGCCGCTATGACACAAAAAAACCACTTTTATTCATTTGTTTATTTCTATTTTAACCTATATTATTATGATGATTATTATGATGATGATTATGATTACTGAGACAAGGTCTCAATACTTAGCTCAGGCTGGACTTGTTGTAAGATCTCAATACATAGCTCAGGCTGGCCTTGTCATAAGGGCTCAATACATAGCTCATCATCCTCCTGCCTCAGCCTCCTGAGTGCTGAGTGGTAACAGGATATGTGTCACCAGTTCTTCCAAGAAAATAACTCAGATCTTTCAATCTAAAAAGATAAATTTAGGGAGCTGGTGATCCTAACAGGAAAACAAGTAACCCAGACAGAAATTCAGAAAAGTATTCCCAGAAGAGACTTTGGAGGTTAAGAGGCAGCGTGGAAAGGAGTTGAGCCTTTGCCGCTTACCGTAGGGACCTGTTCAGTCTCTCCAAATCCAATACCTTCGCTGTGGAGCAAACATCTACCCTCGATATTGTTCAGCAGGACAAGTTACCTGCTTAAATCCAGGTATTTTTACTACATGAATGCTATTCTTCCTTCTTCTGTTTTCTAGAATCCCTTCTTCAAACACAAATCTAATCATGTACATTTGTTGTGGTAAACAAACATTTAATTTCTTCAGATAGAAAAACACCAGAAAGTTATGCCCAAAAAGAAATGCGTTGGCCGGTAGATGTTTCTTTTCAATCACCTTTATCTTCTCTTATCTTTACTGCAGACAAAAATTCTGTAAGGCATCGAGGTGCAATCTGTGAACTCTGCAAGAGGCTTTAGATCCTGTTTTCCACATCATTTGCCAAAAATAGTTACACAAAGACGGGAAAGAGCAGGTGGGCAGCAAAGGGCTGTTCAAACCTGTGGAGTTTCCCTTGGCACAGAGCAGTGGCCAGCCACCACCTTAAGACTCCTGTCACATTTCTGGGCAACAGAAACTGACATTGTTTCCCTGTGGATAGACTTGTCTTCTAAACAATTTTGAAATTCCTTCATTGCTCAAGTTCCTGTGAATGCTTTTAGGCCGTGCTTCAGGAGGGCTGTTCAATGTTATGGAAAAACAATATTCAGAACTTACAAAGACAGAGCTTGTAGCTGATTTGAGAACTATTCAACAAAGGGTTTCAGAGTCAAGAAACTCTGGGTTCAAGCCTTCACAGATGCAAGTCCTGAGGAGTATATAAATTTCTGATTGCTGCATTCACAAATAGCCACAAATTGAGTGGCTTTTTAAAAAAATACACGAAGTTGTTACCTTGTGTATTAGGAAGTGAGAAGTCACAAATGATTCTTCAAGGATGCAGGACTTCTGAGGGCTGGGGAGACAGAGCCAGGGAACCTGAGAATGAACAGGCTCACTTGCCTTCTCCAGTGGCTGGAGCCAACTTCGCTCCTTGGTTCTTGGGTCCTCTGGCCTCTTCCGAGTCAGCAGCACAGCATCTCTTCTTGTTTCTGACCTTCCGTCCCCCACTCATAAGGATTCTTATCATTAGATGAACCAACTCAGAGGACAGGATAAATCTCCACGAAATCCGATTTGTCATGCCAGTGATTTCTACCATGTAAGATTCTCTTTTCCTGACATTTATAGGTTCCAAGGATTAAAGTGAAGACATCTTAGGGCCCACAGGCCTCTGTTACTCAGTTTACTGTAGACAGTAGAGTTTTTATTTTGTTTTTGAGACAAGGTCTCTGTATGTTGCTCAGACTGGTCTTGAACTCCTGGGCACAAGTGATCCTCTTGTCCTACCTTCCTTCCCAAGTATCTAGGATTCCATATACTGTGCCTGGATCTCTTATTTCTAATATGAAAATCACCAGCAAGTGCACATGATCAAGATGTCTTAAGCAGGCCGGAGCTGGCCTCAGCTGGAATGGTGTGCACTGGCCCTCATTCCTCACGTCTGACCCTAGATCATCTTGGCTTTTCTGTCACAGTAGGCCCAGGGTTAGATGAGCTCTAACATTTCTCATCTGGATAATGTTGAATGTCTCCTAACTAATCTTGCTCCTCCCTCCCGGCTCGTTTCCCTAAAATGTATACTCTACTTGGAAGTAACAGTTATCTTTTAAAATTAAAAGCAAAATCATACCGTCTTTGTGCTCCAAATTCTCCAAAGGCCACCTCCCTTGTATAGGATATGAGCGAAATGCAGGATGGCATTCTTGAGATGGCACAGTCTGACCCTGCCCCTTCTACTGTTCCTTCCTGACGATCACGCCCCGGCTCCTCTGCTCCCTGTATTCCAACCACACTAGTCCCTGGTACTCACACACTGGTGACAGCTTGTGTTCAGGCCTGTGCGCTTGCTGTTCCCTGTGCATGAAGCGCTCTTCACACAGATGGCCTACAGTGTGCTCCTTACCTGCTTCCGGTCTGCACAGGCTGCTTGAGAAGGCACTCTGCCCCACTAGCCTGTAAATATCTAAGCCCTCCCCTTCCACAAGACCCAGCTTCATTTTCAGGCATAGTGTGCTTACTTCTGGACACCTTGAAGTAGTGTGTATACTTTCTACCCCTTTCTCCCACTAAGCTGTAAACTTTATTAAGGTAAAGCAGTGATTTTTTTTTTTTTCCTTTCCCTTTCTCTCCCTTTTTATTTTTATTTTGAGACAGGGTCTCCCTGTGTAGCCCAGGCTGTCCTGAAGTTTGTCATCCTGCTTCAACTCCTAAGAGAGATGAGATCACAGATGTGTGACTGTCTTGACTAGGTAAGAAGAAAACAGCCAGTTCTGTTTTCTGGGAAGACCAGAAAATAGATTATCATCAGGTCCATAAAGGAGTCTCTGGGCCTTTCGGAGGCAGTGTAGCACAGTTGCAGAAGCCTTGGTCTTGTGGATGGTAAGAGTGATAATTTAAGTTCTTATGAAGAAAGCAAGGTTCTAATCATGCTGGGTGATTCCAAACTAAACTTCTCAACAAAAGGTCAGCTCATTCCTTGTTAAGTACTTGAACACCCTGTCAACATTCACTCCCTTTTTTGGCATAGCTATTATCAATACCTGATAAAGCACAGAGACCTGTCTGCTCTTACCATTATCAAGTTACAGTTTTAGGCAGTGATGGCATTGATTGTACATAGTCTGAAGTCTGTGGTTTTAGACTATGCCAAGTCAGTATTTTGTTGGAAAACGGTCTCTAGACTCAAACATCCTCCAAAGTGTTGACTGACCCTCGGCAGCTGCCTCCCCTGACAGAGGTGTCCAAATGGCAGAAACATGGGCTGCCGGGGTCTGCCTGCACTTTAGAAACGCCTTTCCTACTTGAAACTCTGGCAGAACTTCTCTTTCAGTTGTTTGTGGAGCTCTCCAGCCTGAGCCTGGAGTCCTTTCCTACCTTTTCTCTTTCCTGGTTTCAGCTCCTTTTGAAAATCAGAGTTTGGATAGTTTTATTGTCATCTGGGCTACAAAGAGGAATCCCCACAGTGCTGCCCAGCACTAAACATAGCTTTGAGAAGCACTTCTGCCCAGGAACGAGATTGTTTGGCAACTCAACTGTTAACTGTCTGCGGTTAGTCTTCCCTGAGATCACTGTGATGTCACCAGTGTAACCTGAGCCGAGAGCTTTGTTCACACTTTAAATAGCAGTCCCAGGGTGATTTTACTACAGACTCTGCAAAGGCCTGAGCTGAACTGCGGAAGACCCACGTCCATGAAAGCAAAGCGAGGCCACCAAGCCACCAGCATGTCCTCGTCTCTCCGAGTGAGCCCGTCCATCCACGGCTACCACTTTGACACGGCCTCTCGGAAGAAAGCTGTGGGCAACATCTTTGAAAACATAGACCAAGAATCTCTGCAGAGACTCTTCAGAAACTCTGGAGACAGGAAAGCAGAGGAGCGGGCCAAGATCATTTTTGCCATGGACCAGGATTTGGAGGAGAAAACACGAGCCCTGATGGCCCTGAAGAAGAGGACGAAAGACAAACTTCTCCAGTTTCTCAAACTGAGGAAATATTCCATCAAGGTGCACTGAGCAGGCAGGAGGGACAAGGACCTTATCCACCAACAGACCTTTAGAGACCCAGTGAGTCTGGGAGCCCTGGCAGAGACAGCGTCCTGCGCATGGCTTGCAAGTGTCCTCCATCAGGACAAGAATGGGACAGAGCAAATCAGTACAAAGACTCGCTCACTTCAGCCCTGAGCCTTTGCAGTGGAGAGCAAACTGCCTTCAGCAGGTCTCTGAGGACTCTCCACCACATCCGGCAGAAGAGGCCGACAGAGGCAGTGAGACGGGAAGACGGCAGGTCCTGGGGAGCGTGTGCACCCAGGGCCACCTGCCAGGCCCTAGACAAACTCAAACCGAACTTGGGTGTTTTGGGTTTTTTTTTTTTTCCTTCTTTTTCTTTGTTAAAACTGTCAAGCTGGGGAGGGAGAGGGAGGAGGGAGAAAACAGACAGAACATCAAGCATAAATTGTTTACTGAATTTTTTATCTGAATGTTTAAAATGTTGTTAAACCTCAGTGCTGTCTAGATTTTTTAGTGATCAGTAATTGACTATTTATTTGCATTTATTAAAATGCCTAAGAAAGTGCCTCACATGGTGTTAAGTGACAAGTAAAGGGACTGAGACTCCTTGCACAGCTCAGTAAAACTTAGGTCACCTTCTGGTTTGTTTCCAAAGGATTTTTGCATGTTTCAATCAGGTTTGCACAAAGCTAAAGTAATGGGATCTTCCATAAAGTACTGTGAAAAATTTTTATGTTTTTTTTAAACTTTCTGACTAATGCTAAAATAGAATCTAATTAAGTCTTTCACAGCTACCACAGTGAGCATTAGGGAACAGACACGATACACTACATACTTTATAAGCTATGGTTTCTATAATTTATTATACATGGCAAGTGATTCATAACCACAATAAATTATTGTAAACGTGGTTTTTCTTGGTTTGTGATGATCGGTCTCAAAGGAAAAAAAGAAGGCTACAAATTTTGATTTTTATCAAGTTTTCTACAGAGTTGACCCTAAAAAGGAGCATTTGGAGTAACTTTGTGCTTATCATCAAACTTTTCTAAAACAAATTCTTACACAAAGTATCTGAGATAGTCCCTTGTTCCAATATTACCTTTATGGCGTGGACGTAGCTATTTGCAGGGTGACCACCGGCATTGCTTCCCTATGTCCTTTAAGGGTGGGTTTCAAAAGGCTTTCTCTTCATGTTTTTGAAGTTTTCCCTCTGTCACCACAGCAGACATGTACGTGTATTCTTTCTTTTCTTCCTGAATAGTACATTTTGGGATTAGAGTGCCTTATGGGCAAAATTCTGTAAGTTATGAGTACTTACTCAATAGAAAGCAACGTAGGAGTTAACATCACAGTCTCGACATCATCATAATTTTATAATTCTTATAATCTTATAATTCAGTGTTTCTACAGAGACGTAACACAGTGCTTACTGTGCCTTCCTAACAGAAATACAGAAAAAGAAATTCTCCAGAAATTGTTTCAGAAAAATCTACGAAAGCTTTTAAAATGCTGACTACAGCATATCAAAACAAGTACATTACCTAAATCCTTTGGAGGGGGGGGTTACAAGTCAAGATTTTAAAAACTAAAAATTTTAAAAGAAGATCAAAATCTGTATTCAACTTTCAACTTTTCCTTGTAAGACCGTTAAATATCACTCCATAAAAGGGGCCTTGGCCGGGCCTGTAGCTCAGTGTAGATCACCTGCCTAGTTTGCACAAGACCCAGGGTTTCATCCCCAGGAGTGAAATAAAAAGTGGACAGTTGTTTGTAGAATTGTGTAAAGTGTGTGTGTGTGTGTGTGTGTGTGTGTGTGTGACATAGCTATGTGCATTTTTTCTGGGAAGACTATGCATACTGTCCATTGGATTTGCAAAGACAACCATGAAACCAAAAGAAGTTAGGACCCGCAGAGGTAGGGCTTTAACAGGGGGATGCTGTGCTGGGCACACTGTATTATAAATGTGGAGGCTGTAAAGAAGGCCTCTGCTCTGCTCCCCTATTGTCCATCCTGCTGAACACTGAGCGAGCTGACTGTTGTGTGTGCTTAGAATGATCTACTGTCCCTTATAGGAGCCATCATGGAAAACTTTCAAGTCATGCTCTTTTCAAAGACTGAAGCTGGGCACGGTGGCCAGCTTGTAATCCTAACACTCAGGAGGCTCAGGAAGAAGGATCAACAGTTTAAGGCCAGCCTGAGTCACATAGTTAAATCTTGTCTTTAAAAAATCAGTCTTGTCTGTCCAGTCATTCATCCATCCATCCTTCCATCCATCCATCTATCCATCTATCACAATAGAGGACGTACATCTTGGATGCTGAGTGTAGACCATTGTATTTACTCAGAACTCCGTCCTCTGTTGCCAATGTTTCCAGTAGAGTGCATCTCATCTGCTTTACCCATGAGCACTGAGTTGCATTAAATTGGTTTGGGGTAATATGCTATCATTTCTGATGACAAGACCAAAACATGGGGAGGGGGAGCAGTTTGGAAAGGCCCTACAAGAGTGTGGAGAGCAGAGCCCTGTCTAGTAGGTTGTTAGAAACAAGCTATCCTCTCCTTCAGGGAAGACAGGGTACAACTGGTGAGACTGTACAAGGATCATTTTTAAACTGCATAATGAAAATATTATTTAGTGTCAAGTGAAAATAAACATTATTAGAAAAGAAAGAGTATAGGGTTGGAGAGGTGGTTCAGCAGTTACGAGCATGTTCTGCCCTCGCAGGAACCTGAGTTCCATTCTCAGGATCCAGGTTGAGTAGCTCACAACCACCTGTAACTCCAGCTCCAGGGAATCTGATGCCTCTGGCCTCAGCAGGTACCTGTACTCATGTGACAAGCCTACACATATACACATGCTTAAAAATAAAAAACAAACCTTTTTAAATGAAGAGGAAGACTACTTTAGTCCTGAAGTCTACCTATGCCACAGGGAGGGCCAAAAGGACTGTTGAAGTATCTTGTAACAGAAGAAATAAAAGCAGAAAGAGTTCAGTAGCCCCTTAATAGTATTTATTTCACTGCGATCATAATAACGAACTAGCTTTTGCTGAATGGTAGTATTATTGGCCAGATAGTTTTTGTGATGTAAGAGGTCAGAGCATGCCGCATTTATACATGCTTATGAGTATGTAGTTATAAGCCTGAATACAGGTTTCCAGCCTGGCTCCAGTCTCTAAGTGACCCTTCATACATAAGGGAGCTGGACCATGGGGTGGAATTTGTACCTTATCTGCTCACAGAATGGAAATATAGGAGGCACCGAGGCGTGTGGGCCAACATGGCCAGAAGAGACCTGCTTCTCATCAGCAAGACCCTAAGGCTTTCAAATGGATGGGAGGCAGGAGCTTCAACAGCAGACATTGTGGTTGTGACTGTGTATGCATATGTGTGTGTGTGAACATGTCTTTGTGTGTGTAACTATGTTTGTATGTTTGCACATGGTATGACTGTATATCTCTGCAGCTGTATGTGTGTCTGCTTGCATGTCTGAATGAGCATGATTGTGTGTGTTTGTGTGTCCATGTACATTTGTATAGAGGCATGCTATTGTGTGTGAGTATACATGCATATGTGTGTATGGGTATATCTGAATATGCGTGTATGTGTGACTGTGTGTACATGTGTGTGGCTGTGTATCTGTGAATACTTCTGTATGTGGCTTTGTGAGTATTTGTCTTCATGGGGGTATGTGTGTCTGTGTGTGTGGAGGGTGTCTATGTGTGCATGTGTCTATGTGACTGTGAATCTTGTCTGCGTCTGCATGAATGCACAAGTTTACCTTTATATGTGCAATTGTGTATACAGCTGTGTGAGTGTGTATTTATGTGAATGGGTATGCATTTGTATGCAATTGTATGTTTATGTTTGTGAGTGCATGAGCATATCTATGCATGTGTTTGTGTGGATGTGTGAGAATGTATGTTGATGTGTATGTGTCTGTGTATGCCTATCTGTGTTCATGTGTGTAACCCGTGTGTATCTGGGTGAGTGAATATGTGTGTGTGTCTATATGTATACATGTCCATATGGGTGTGTGAAAATGTGTATTCATGTGTGCGTATCTGGGTGAGTACATGTGTGTGTCTAGAAGAACATGTAGCTGTGTGAGAATGTTTTCATGTGTGTGTTCAGATGTGTGTATCTATATTAATTTGTATGCAGGTATGTGTATCTGGATGAGTGCGTGTGTGTGGGTATAAGTGTGTCTATATATCCATGTGGCTGTGTGAAAGTGCATGTTCAGATGTGTGTCTTTGTGGTTATGTGAGAATGAATGTATGTCTGTTGGTTGGGAATTTAGCTCAGTGGTAGAGCGCTTGTCTAATGAGCGCAAGGCCCTGGGTTCGGTCCTCAGCTCTGAATCAGTCCTAACACAACCTGGAGAGTTGCTTCAGGAGTTCAAAGAGCATTTTCCTGTCTCAGAGGAGGAGGTGGAGGCAGAAGAAATGCTTTATGCCCATTGCCACGCTGTTTGCAAAGGCGAAGCAGGAACATGAGGGCGGAGCTTGGGTCTCCAGCCGGTGATGACAAGGCCTAAGCGATTGTCAGTCATAATTAGGCAGTGACTGGGCCTTAGAGAGCAAGTTAAGGACCAATTTATCCTGAAGGCAACAGGGAAACTAGGAGTTTTCAGGAGACTTGTGACTTTTCTATGAGCCTATTGTCTTACGAAGACGTACAATTAATAGCTTGAAAATCTGAATGCATGGTCACATTCTACAGAGATTCTTCCAGAACTCTGTGGCCTTGGCCTTGTCTGGCAGAGGAAAGGCCCACAGGACCTTCACAGCTCAGTGGCAGGGAGCAGCTCTGCAGTGGCTAGTGACCAACAGGAGCCTCGAAGAACGGGCTGTGAGGTGAGGCTGGGAAACAGCAGACAGATGCACTGCCCGAGTGAACACTTAACTGGGACTATGTTTAAATCACGCAGTGGGTCTTACTATTTGAGTCACAGGGGGAATAAATGGCTACCTGGGTATCCTTACTTGGCCAGCCCTTCATCCGTATCTGTCACAGGCCCATGAATATGTTTCCATTTCAATGTGAATGCGTGTGGTTGGTGGGTATGGTTCCTCTACAAACTGGCAAAATAACCTCATAGAATTCTGGAAATGAGCAGCGTGTCTTGCTAGGGTTTTCCAGAGCTTTCCTTCTGTAGTAACTTCCCCCCTTAAACGCCTGCACCAAATGCTGCAGACAAGCCCATGGAAGCCCCGAGCCTATCCAGGCTTTGTTTCTTTGCTGCTCACAATAGCAGAACAAATACCAGCGGATGGACAGGGGCATTCTGGGCTTTTCCTAGCTCTGCTTTGGAAAGATGCCTCTGTTGTCTCTGAGTTTTGTCTGGATGATATCTGCCCTTCCTTTGTCCTCACAGTCCACACTACAGGCAATGATGAACCATAGCTGCCCTGCCTCCCAAGGTCTCCTGGCATTCCACAACAGCAGTAATTCCCCTTAAATACAAGTAAAGCCCAGTGAGACGTTTCAGTCACTAGTCATGGTGGCCAGAGGCACCAGGCAAGGAAAATAGCCTTGGGAGGACACCCTGTGCCCTAATTGACTGTCTTTGTTCTGGGTGCGTGATGCCGCTGGCAGGGCTGGCTGTTAATATTCTGATTCTCTTCCTGTTCTGAGTAAGGGCAGAGTCACTGAGCCCATGTTCACTGTTGATGGATCTTCAATCATCTGTGTATGTTCCCAGTCCTAAAGTCTAGGGGTCAACCAAGCCCAGGGTTGAACATTTACAAAGCTCCTTGGTTGTCTATGAAAACTATGAAATTTAGGGAATCATTTCTTAGTTTACATTGAATTTTCTGTTATTGCCCCTTTGTAATGTAGGACCAAAGAGCTGATTTCCTGGCATTACAGCTTTTCTTAGCACAGAGGTTCTGTCAGTCCCTGGAGATGAAATGGTCCAGAAGATTGGGTTTTGAAGAGAGAATAAGTGGTTTTGGGCTGTAGTAATCACAGTAGGTTTAGATGAACGCTTCCCGGGATGTATTTGCTTCGGAGTTGTGCTGCTTAGTTTTTGTCAACTTTATACAAACTACAGTCTCCTTGGGAGAGGGACCTCAAAGTGAGGAATTTTCTCCATTGGATTGGTCTGTCGCCCATGTCTGTGAGGCATCTTTTTAATTGCTGGTGGATGTAGGAGGATCCAGCCCACTGTAGGCAGTGCCATCCTGGGCAGGTGAGCCCAGGATGTATGTGAAAGGTAACCAAGCAAGCCGGGGGAGCAACCAGTGAGGAGCATTCTGGCCTGTTGTAGCTCCTGCCTCCAGGTTCCTGCTCTGAGTAACCGCTTGACC